TGCTGAAAAAGCATTTTGACAAAATTCAACACCCCTTCATGACAAAAGTCATGAAAAGATCAGGAATTCAAGGCCCATACCTAATCATAGTAAAAGCAATATACAGCAAACCAGTAGCCAACGTCAAACTAAATGGAGAGAAACTTGAAGCAATCCCACTAAAATCAGGGACTAGGCAAGGCTGTCCACTCCCTCCCTACCTATTTAATATAGTACTCAAAGTACTAGACAGAGAAATTAGACAACAAAAGGAGGTCAAAAGGATAAAAATTGGAAGGAAAGAACTCAAAATATCACTATCTGCAGATGATATGATAGCATACATAAGTGACCCCCAAAACTTCCACCAGAGAACTCCTAAACCTGATAAACAACTTCAACGAAGTGGCTGGATATAAAATTAACTCAAACAAATCAGTAGCCTTCCTCTATTCAAAGGATAAACAGGCTGAGAAAGAAATTAGGGAAATGACACCCTTCACAATAGTCACAGATAATATAAAATACATTGGTGTGACTCTAACCAAGCAAGTGAAAGATCTGTATTACAAGAACTTCAAGTCTCTGAAGAAAGAAACCAAAGAAGATCTCAGAAGATTGAAAGGTCTCCCATGCTCATGAATTGGCAGGATTAACATAGCTAAAAATGCCCTTCTTGCCCAAAGCCATCTATAGATTCAACGAAATCCCCATCAAAATTCCAACTCAATTCATTGTAGAGTTAGAAAGAGCAATTCTCAAATTCATTTGGAATAACAAAAATCCCAGGATCATGAGAACTATTCTCAACAATAAGAGAACTGCTGGGGGAATCACCATCCCTGACCTCAAGCTGTACTACAGAGCAATTCTGATAAAACTGCATGGTATTGGTACAGAGACTGGCAGGAAGATCAATTGAATAGAATTGAAGACACAGAAATGAACCCACACACCTATGGTCACTTGATCTTTGACAAAGGAGCTAAAACATCCAGTGGAAAAAAGCATTTTCAACAAATGGTGCTGGTTCATCTGGAGGACAACATATAGAAGAATGCAAATCAATCCATTCTTATCTCCTTGTACAAACCTCAGTCTATGTGTCAAGGACCTCCACATAAACCTCAAGTCTAAGTGGATAAAGGACCTCCACATAAAACTAGATACACTGAAACTAATAGTAGAGAAAGTGGAGAAGAACCTCGAATACATGGTCACAGGGGAAAAGTTCCTGAACAGAACACTAATGGCTTATGCTCTAAGATCAAGAATTGACAAAGAAGACCTCATAAAATTACAAAGCTTCTGTAAGGCAAAGGACACTGTCAATAGGACAAAACAGCAACCAACAGATTGGGAAAAGATCTACCAACCCCACATCTGATAGACGGGTAATATCCCATGTATTCAAAGAACTCATGAAATTAGACTCCAGACAATCAAACAACCCTATTAAAAATGGGGTACAGAGCTAAACAAAGAATTCTTAACTGAGGAAACTCGAATGGTCAAAAAGCACCTAAAGAAATGTTTAACATCCTTAGTCCTCAGGAAAATGCAAATCAAAACAACCCTGAGACTCCACCTCACAGCAGCCAGAATGGCTAAGATTAAAAACTCAGGTGATAGCAGATGCTGGTGAGGATGTGGAGAAAGAGGAACACTCCTCCATTGTTGGTGGGCTTGTAAGCTGGTACAACAACTGTGGAAATCAGTCTGGTGGTTCCTCAGAAAATTGGACATAGCATTGCCTGAGGATCCAGCTATACTACTCCTGAGCATATACTCAAAAGATGCTTCAACATATAACAAGGACACATGCTCCACTATGTTCATAGCACCCATATTTATAATAGCCAGAAGCTGGAAAGAATCCAGATGTCCTTCAACAGAGGAATGGATACAGAAAATGTGGTACATTTACACAATGGAGTACTATTCAGCTAATAAAAACAACGGATTCATGAAATTCTTAGGCACATGGATGGAACTAGACAGTATCATCCTGAGTGAGCTAACCCAATCACAAAAGAACACACATGTTATACTCTCACTGATAAGTAGATACTAGCCCCAAAGCTCGAAATACCCAAGATACAATTCTTAGACCACATGAAGCTCAAGAAGAAGGAAGCCCAAAGTGTGTGTTGGGGTGGGGGTAGAGTGGGGGCTTTGGTCCTTCTTAGAAGGTGAACAAAATACTGGAGGAAATATCGAAACAAGTGTGGAGCAGACACTGAAGGAGGGACTGTCAGGAGATTGCCCCACCTGGGTATCTATCCCATGTGCCACCACCAAATGCAGACACTGATGTGGATGCCAGGAAATGCATGCTGACAGGAGACTGATATAGCTGTCTCCAGAAAGGCTCTGCCAGAGCCTGACATATACAGAGGCAGATGCTTGCAGCCAACCATGGAACTGATCATGGGGGTCCCCAATGGTGGAGTTAGAGAAAAGACTGAAGGAGCTGAAGGGGTTTGTGTTTCCATGGGGCGAGTGACAATACCAACCAGCCAGAGCTCCCAGGGTCTAAAGAACCAGCCTGGGAACACACATGGAGAGACCCATGGCTCCAGCTGTATATGTAGCAGAGGATGGCCTTGTTGGGCATCAGTGGGAGAGGAGGCCCTTGGTCCTGTGAAGGCTGGATGCTGCACAGTGGAGGAATGTATGGGCAGGGAGGAGGGATTGGGTGAGTGGTTGGGGGTATATACTCATAGAAGCAGAAGGAGGTGGGATGGGATAGTGGGTTTCTGGGGGGTAAACGAGGAAAGGGGATAACATACGAAATGTAAATAAATAAAATATCCAGTAAAAACAGAGAAAAGAAAAACAGGGACAAATTTTGATGGTTCCATGTGAAAGTCTTAAGACACCTCTTTTTTATGCAATACATAAAACTTAAGTCTAAATGGATCCTAGATTAGACAAGTAATAAGAAAATTATAAAACATATGTGAATAAACATTAGAGTGTATGCTCATCTGAAATGGCTTGAGCAATCCTTCTTAAGTATTTATAATCAAAAGGGAGGGGAAATGAAGATAGAAAAATTGTCTTTATGATTCAAAGAAGATGAGCAATAGTATGAAAATGGCATCACAATGGGAAAATTATTTGCATATCATTTATCTGATAACACCTTTCCAACCACAATGCATAATCACCTCCATGCTTCAGTGGTAAACAGAGAAATAACCTAGGTTAAAAGTGAACAAACGTGGATAGGCAGTCGTCCAAGAATGATATGGAAGTGCTCAATAAGCACATGAAAGAATATTGAACACCGTGTTTTCAGAAAAGGAAAAAAATACAACAAAATACCACAACACTGCCACTAAATCATGTAATACAGATAGAGATAATAGTACAAGCTTTGTCTAAGGTGTGGGGAACATGAAATCCACAACTGCTGTTCATGGGAAGGAAAATATTGAAGCTGCTTTGGGAAATGCTAATGAATTTCCTAGTCATATACTAAAGACAAATGAAGGTGTGTCTATGAGTGCTCACATCTTCATATTCATAACATCCCAGAGTGGCTATCAACTGATGAACAGAAAGGTGTAACCGACCCATGGAATGGGATGACATACAGCAATGAAAAGGAATGGTATACTGACTCCTGCTACAAAAGGAAATTTGAAATATACAAAAGCACAAGAGACCGTTTGGAACAAATATCTATTTCTATGTAATAGCCAGTATACAAAACTCTATCAGTGGCAGAACTTAATGGAAGGAGATGGGGTAACTGTTCCTAGCTGTGGAGTTTATTTTTATGGTGAGGAACTTTGATAAAATCTATTTGATGATGCTGAGACAGTTCTGTGAGTAGCACAATAATCTTCAGACACCCTTTGGATGGCTGAACTGTACAGTGTCTGAATGGTATTTCAATAGAACATTCACAATACAGATCTCTAACAAATTGAAAAGCCTTAGTTCTGAGAGTAAATATCCATGAAGTAAAAACAAACACTTACCTTCCAAGCCTATTAAGACTCTGCCCATTTTGTTTCTGTATCTGAGTTGAAATGCTCACTGTCTCCTGCCTGGAGCTTTCACAGCCTGTTTATTAGACCAAGCTTCTGTCCTTGCAGGCAGACTGCCTTCAGACAGCAGTGTTTAAAATACTGTCCTAGTTTTCTTTCTACTGCTATAATAAAATCTGGCCAAAACCAATTTGGAGAGTAAAGTTTATTTGGCTCACAGGTCACGGTCCATCACCAAGGGTAGCCAAGGCAGGAAGTCAAGGAAGAACCCAGAGTCAGGATCTAAAACAGAACTATGGAGGGATGCTGCTGAGTTGATTCTCGTGTTTCAGGAGATTTGTTATTTTTACACAACACAGAATTATCAGAATAGGAGTCACAGTACCACAGTTGGCTTGGCACTCTCACAATGATCACCAACAAAATGCTCCATACATTTTCCTACATGCCAATTGATATGCTTTTTTGCTTTTTCCTTTTTTTCTTCTTCAGTTAAGGTTCCCCTTTTCCAGATGACTGTTGTTTGTGTCAAGTTGAGAAAAGCCAAAACAAGTTGACACATTTTCCTTCTTGACACACAAACCACCACTACTAAAACCCTAACCTTTTGTGTCTTATTTGTCCCAAGGTGTAATGGCAAGACTACAATGTGCTTTGTCAAAGTTTTTCATGTCTCTAACAGCAGCAGGAGGCAGGCTATGGAACTTCAAGACATTTGGTTCCTCATATGGCCTCCAGAAGGCGCTGCTGCACTCACTAGTGCTCCTTCTTTTGAAGATCCCCACCTGTTCTCATCTGATCCTTCTTGCAGCTGACTGAGTATTTAGCAAAGGCAAGTGACAAGAATCAGATATTCAAAACCTCCCAGGCTCCTGTTTGCAGTGTCAGCTTTTATCTGAGAGGGGACTTCTCCAGCAGATTCTTCCAGCTTTCAAGCTCTTGCTTTCTTCAGCCACTTTCCTGCCTGTCCTGTTCCAGAGTTCCTCCCCAACAGAGCTGCAGCCTTCCCAAGGCTCAACCATGCTCCTGGTGTTCCTCCCAGTGCTGGGGATACACTTTCTCCTAAGTGAGTACAGCTTCCTTGTGGTCCCCGAATCTCTGGATTCTGACTGTCCTCAGTGAAGTCTACACTGCAGCTAACTGATGTAATATTCCTTTCCAGGAGAAGCCCAAGCTCAGTCAGTGACTCAGCCTGATGCTCATGTCACTGTCTCTGAAGAAACCTGTCTGCAGCTGAGATGCAAGTTTTCCTCCCCTGGGGCACCTTATCTGTTCTGGTATGTCCAGTACCCAGGACAAGGGCTGCAGCTGCTCCTCAAGTACTATTCAGGAGACCCAGTGATTCAAAGAGTGAATGGCTTTGAGGCTGAGTTCAACGAGAGTGATTCTTCCTTCCACCTGCGGAAAGCCTCTGTGCACTGGAGCGACTCGGCTGTGTACTTCTGCGCTCTTAACACAGTGTGTGGGGCTGTAGGGGTAGCTGAACACAAACACCCATGATCATGGGTGCTCAGACTTAAGAGCTCTCCTTGTGGACTCTGTGACATCTCTTTGGACTTGAAGAGGAAAGAAGGAAAGTTGTGCACTCCCAGCTGTTTTTCTCAAACACATTTCCAGCTAAAACATCTGCTATATCCAATGCTCAATCCTAGTTCTGTGGAATGGAGGAGACTCTATTGTTATCCTGGTTGTTATTTCCTGAGTGGATATCACTTGGACAGTGACTGGACTAAGCGGCTGAAGAGGAAACTGGACTTTCATTGTGTCATTTTAAGTATTGTCTACACAGAAAGTGAAAGGTATACTCTTCAGCTTTTGTCCTGGAATTTTCCTTCTCTTCTCAATCTTTTGTACTAATTCCCTATAAATTCTTCTCTTGCTGCTGAATGTGTAACAGGTCAGGATTGGTCGTAATAGTTAAGTATTGACCATTTGGAATTAATTTGATGCCTTATTAGTCAAGATAGGATTTCATCAGTACCACAAAAACTTTGAAATCTGTCATGTCAGCTCTAGCAGCCAATAAAAATAAAACAGGAGAATAAGGAATTCGAGCTCATTGGTATTTTTTTTCCTAAGAGTTCTTCACAGTTGTAAATGTACTATCTTGTTTTTGTTGCGACCTTAAAATCTTCAAATCTCCTTGGGAATCCGTGGTCTGATTCCTTCTGCATCTTTTATAACTGCTCATTGCTTTCACTCTGGTGTGTATGATTTTTACTAAGAGAATATCAATGATAGATTCTTTTATCCTAACATAGTCCTGCCCTGCTGAGATACAGGCCAGAGCCTCAGGGAAAGTTAGTGCTCACTGACTACAGTGTGGAATTTTGGTTTCTTCTCCATCTGATTGGGAGAATTGTAGAAGATGATTTTATACTCCTGTGCATAGAGCATCGGAGGATGAATACTCAGGATAAGAAGGAAAAAGAAGGGAGAATTTTCTAGCTGCTGCATGGCTCAGAAATGGAAGTAGTTAGGCACCATGGACCTGTGAGCACCTGTGTATGATTTCCAGCACACATAAAAAGCTGCGCATGGTGGCTGTGTGTAACAGCCTGTTCTGCCTCATGTTCGGGGGCCACTTTGTTCTGGCCCATTCTGTTGCTCCAGTCTGCGGCTCAGGGTTTAGCAAGAGAGAGAGTGGAGATGGAAGGGTAAGAAACCGAGAAGAATGGAGACAAGACAGAGGGTCTGATCAAGTCTCTCTTTATTGAAAGGAAATCCTGGGTATTTATACACTTTACCATGTGCCTTGCCCTCGTGGACAAGCAGGGGAACACAGCTGAAGGTGCTTTGCCACTTGTCTTGCAGCGTGGATACCATGTGTGCCTTGCATCTGGCAACACTAAGCAGCAAAACAAGATATGTGAGAAAAACAAGATGTTTATCAGAGTCTGCTCAGCTGTTGTAGGCTGTTGAAAACAAGTCTCTTGTCAGGGTATATGGCCTGAGATGGCTGCAAAGATGATAGCCGCTTTCTGCTAGGAGTCAGCTCCCAACAGCTGTGCTGGGAGGTGAGGACAAACAGATCCCAATAGCCTGCTATCCAGCCAACCTAGCCTGACCGTGAGCTCCAGGGATCAGTGAGAGAGATTGTCTTCAGTAAACAAGCCAGATAGCTTCAGAAAAATGAAACCCAAGATTGACTTCTGGCATCCACACACATGTGCACATATGTACACTTAAAGACACATGCATACACACACACACACACACACACACACACACACAAGCTCTTCAGAATATGAGGAAGAACATCTAAAGTTTTTCTCTAGTCTCCACATATATACATACACATGTACTTTTACATGCTCCACTAGGTTGTACCCACACATCATGAGCACATACAAATACACATACACACATAAATATTTTAACATAGAACACAAAAACTAAGTAATCTATCTTACATATTTCCCTGTTTCATTCTTAGTTTTGATTTTCTTTATAATGAAATGAGAAGACAGGGATATTGTAAACAATCATAAGACACAGAGCCTACATCAGCCCAGGAATGCTCATGTATGCGTTTCCAGTCCACTCACCTGCTGCAGGCTAGAGGGTTTCCCATTCTTGCCACTACACATTTGGCCTGGCTGAGCGCTTCACGTCCATGGAGTTGTATGGCAGAGCTCCCTGTGTTTCTCGTTCTGCTCACTCGCATGCAGTTGATCTATCCACACGTTCTTATGTGCATCGTCATCATCCATCACTGTCATTACAGTGCAGTACCTCATATCCAAACACAGTGCACTGTTCCACCGTGGCTCACAGTGGCTAGACAAGAATTGTTAGGGATTAAATATTTGGTTCTTAGTATGTCAAGGTACAGGCTAATATAGCTTATTATACCGTGTTCATTTGGGAAAAGTTGTATCTCTAACATAACTTTAGTTAAAATCTCCAACCTAAGAACCTCCATTAAAAGGTCTTTCTCTGTTTGGTTATACTATGCGTCATGCTTCTTCTCTTGCTAGCAAGACTCACTATGTGATAGTCCCTATGAAATGTGATACTTTGTGTTTTGATCATGTTGTCAACAAAATTTCAGTTTCTTCTGTTATTGTCTTTATTTAAAATGGCAGCTGGCAACCCCTGGAGGGAGCATTCTTAGCACTTGTGAGCTAAGTGAGAGTAATTTCAGTAGAACTGAAGCAGTAGAACATGCCTGAATCAAAATGATTTAACATCAACCGTACACATATGTAATTGTACTTGTATACAGATTTTTTAAGTGGTTGAGATATACATATGCTGCAAAATTTTTAGAAATAGCCCCTGCAAACTCTGAAGATTTATGTCATGCAGTTTTTCCCTTCTCCATAAGTGTTCCAAGCAAACTTAAGAGATAGTAGCACTTTGATACAAGCACTGATTGTGAAAATATCCAAAGCCATGTTAGGAACCTACAGGGGGGATTTCCCTCCTGTGTTATTAGCATTGGGAGCACAGTGCAGGAAACACAGACTCCAGTCTTCTCAGCACCTTGGCAAATTGGTAAGGCCATCAGACCTTTAGGTAGAATTCTCGGGTGAATTTTGGCAAGAATGGGGAAGTATTACTTTGGAGACAATGGCTCTAAAACAAGGTAAAAAGGTAGAATGCCAAATGATTGAGTTATTTGATCAGTAGCGTTATGCCTTCAGAAGCTTTTTGGCTGTGTTTGTGCAGTAGCATTTAAAAATGGCCAACTATATTCATTTGGGGTTTAGATTTCACAGCACACAACAGGGTGAGTGGCTGAGACAACAAAACTTCTTTGCTCAAAGATGCAATTGTGAGCAGGACCCACTTTTCCTGAGATTTCTCTCTGTGGTCACAGAAGTCTACAGTTAGTGAATCCTCACAAGGTCCTTCTCAGAGGATGTGCAGGTCTGTGCTCACCATGTCTGATTTGTCTAGGCCTCGTGGGTACATTTATTTTACTTCAGTTAACTTTTAACCAACTGTCTTCAAGCATCATCACACTGGAATCCTTAGCGTGAGCTCTCCAGCATATATATTTTGGGTGGCACATAATTCAGCCTTTAACAACATTTTAAGAATATTAATGGTATGTGTATGAAGATTTTTGAGGTCTCCTTAATCCAATATTATATGAATTTCTGCTGTGCACATGAACACACACACACACACACACACACACACACAAACACACCTGGACGAATCCTATTCTATACGCCAAAATTTTGGGTTGTTTTACTTTGTATTTTTCTAAAGTAGTGCATTGCAATACTTAAAATGATGATTCAGCAAAACAGTTGCCTTTTTTTATGTAATTTTATTCCATGGGAATGTATATATGTGTATCGGTATGTGAGTAGATGTATGTGTTAAGTGTGTGTGTGTCTATATATATGCAAGTGTGTAAATATGTACCTGTATAAGTTTGAGTGTGTTGATGTGTGTACAAGTGTAATAGTGAGTCCAACTGAATCTCATGTGAGTTTGGTGACTGCCTTTTCATACGATCACTTGCATGTTTCTAAAAAAATCTGAATCAAAATGATAAACAATTCATAAAATCAGGTAACTGTGAAGGAATAGAAGGAAAGGGACCCTTGATAATAACTGAAGCTGAAGAACTGTTATCCAGAATTGGATATGTAGCACTCTATCATCTCAGTACATAAAAGTTTCTCAGTTTTGGCTTCATTCCTTTCTGCCTTATTTATTCTTGGCCCTTCTTCTCTTCCTATTTCCCATTTTCCCTTCTGTCTAAATGTTAAGTCAACCTCACTCATACCTCTTGGATACATGGTTTCTGTGTCGCATAAGCTGGTTCACGTGAAAAACTTGACACTCTCATAATGCACACCTCTCTCTCCACCTGAGAGCAGAACAAAGGTGCTTTAGAGAAGGCTGTGGTGGTTGTCATGGTTAGAGGATTAGAGAGAAGTCCTTCAATAAGGACAGCAGTAGAAACGTATCCTATGTTGTCTTTAGCACTCTTGGTTTCTGTTTAGAGTTTTTCAAAGTAACATGTACTATAACTATTTTTTTCAGAACTCTACTTTTAATGATGGTTCTTAAATGCTTTAACCTTCCTTCTAGCCCACCACCCACCAAAGATAGTGGAAAAGAAAGGATGCAGGCGATGTGGACCTGTTTAGATATGGTTCTTTGGAGCAAAGTCTATCTGCATTGTCAGGAAACCAGCCATTTAGTTATAGGTCAGCAGCAGCAGTAGCTCGATCCACTTGAAAACACTTCATGGATATACCAGCAGTCCTGTTCAGTAGTTAGGATAGCAACAGCTGTGTCACAACCTAGCAGGACCAGCCAGACCACAGCTGAATCTGCATGAATCAGCAGGAGGGACCAGTATCATCAGGGATGCCAGGGAAAGTTCTTGGCTGTGTCTATTTAGATGAAGCGAAGATCAGCCAAGAAGTGAGATTGAGAAGCATTTAGCTACACAAGCAAGCCAAGCAATCTCTCATCACTATCTGTCGAGTCCTTTTAACCTCCCTCCAAACATCACGTGTCCTCCACTG